TATTGTAGACGAGGGAGTAGTAAACTATAGGGGTGGAATTAATACTTTAATGAAATTATCACATCAATGCCGTTTTTACAAATTATTTCTCCAACGAGTAGTAAGCCTTGTGAGGAGTAATTGTATCATAGTAGACGAAGAGGAAGATTAATTTAAATTTCGCTTTTTCCTTCACGCTCTTTTGTTGGAAAAAAAGTAATTCCTAGTAAAAAGGTAAATGTCAACGACAGTCTTTCGCCACGTCTATTTTTTACAGCCTCTTCCATCTTAATGCTTTTTTATATTCGGCCTTAAGAAGTGTAGTCTAAATGCCGTGTTTTAGCTTAGGCCATTTCTAGTCGAATTCGGTGAGGTTGAATGTCATTAAAGCCAATTCACAAGGCGAATTTGCAATTAAACCGGACCCACAAAAGAGCCTGAATTGGCCACATTTAGGAATATCTAAGTGGGTTTTAGTACACATTTCATCCGCTTAATTTTCCAAAATACTGTATTCGCATGTGGGCCTTCTTAAGTTGGAGAAAGGGGGGAGCAAAAGGAATGGAGGGAGGGAGGGAGGGAAGGGGGTTGTAAGGATAAAGACATAATTACAGGGGAGACGGTATTGAGATAGATGCAAGACATGAATTGGTAAGGAAAAGGGTTATGGCATTGGGAGTGGAGAAGGGGTAACATTTTCTTTGCTCTCTGACTGTCTCTTCTAACTTTTCAGTAGCAAAATACAAGATAAACATTCAGTCGCGTAGAGCTCAATTCATTTTTTGAAAAGTGGGAATAATTTGATATAATTTTGTGTTTGGATTACCTAAAACGGATTACTTTTACTGGGAGAGAGGGGTAGGTGAGACGGGGTGGGGGAGGGAGAAAGAAAATGGGATAGAAAGTGAAGTGGTAAAGGCTAAGTTTTGAGAAGACATATTCACACCCCCGGGCGATTATCGGTACAGGGTTGGGAGAGATAATTAGAAGGTGGAATCCCGACTAGCAGATGCAAGGCGATTAGTGAAATACACATACACACTGCCTAATAGGGCAACAAAATACGATTTCAAGTGTTCGTTTATTCATAAAAATTAGAATATATGCAAGAGTTTTTAGTTAAACAGCAATATTTCCAAAAAAGACGTTATAACTAGAAGCCAATAAAGTCAAATACGAATTTTGATAAAATTTTCTCTTCTGAAAATGCATAGTCATAAATGAACATTTTGTTTTCTTTTCCGTAAGTTCTTTTTCCCAAAGCCCTAGTATTGACTATACAATTAAATAAATATAATTTTTGTGATCATTTTACTTTTTAAAGAAATATTTTTATCAATAATTTTTGTGCATATTAGTTTTAAAGTTCTCGAAATCATCTTGACAAAGGAGAATTGCTAGGCAGCAAATAGAAGAAATGAATAGAGTAGCATTTTGGGGTCATAAACGCTAAAAAAAGGGAATGCTTTTAAGTTAAAAAAATATTTAATTAATGGAACAGAAACCTGCTTAGCAATTCAACCGAAAAATAGCAGCTCAGTCATTTTTTCTTTTGAGTAATAAGTGAATTTTGCAAAATGAATTTGATTAATCTATCCGAAGATTGTTATGCATTACCTTAAAGTCCACTGCTCGAAACTACGGAATTTAGTGTGAAATTGCCTTCATATTGTTTCACGCTGAAAAACTATTCAAATAATTATTTCAATATATATATCAATTTCTAGTCTTCGTTTCCTCCAGTATGCGAGAGAGGTTTGTCCTTTACACCTGGACAAATATTTGCTCATATTATTATTTCCCACCCCGGCCAGGTGTGTGTGCTTTATAGATGCAGGTATTTTCTCCCATGCGAGGGAGACGCTATCCAACCTGCTGAGACGACGACGACGATAAATTTTCAGGTCAAAGGAATTAATTAAGGGAGGTACATATGAGAGTGGAGTAACAAAAAAAAGAGAGAGAGGACATTTTCAATGTGACTCCGGTGAAGTTTTTAACAATTGAACAGCTGATTGAAAATATGTTCATAGAGAGAGAAAGGGGGGGGGGGTGAAATCGATGTCTCCAAATCGTAAATGTGGCTTTATTTAGTTACTAATTCAATCGATTTTTCGATGAGGCACAACTACGACATCTCTAAATTCTAACCCTAATCTGGAGAGATCGATTTTATATCCTATTGAATGGAATGCTCTGCCCTTCAAGAGGGGAGAGATGGGGGGGGGGCTGTGGTGGTTCAGCTTGTGTTCCATTTTTCTCGTTTTTTATTAATATTCATTTTCATGAAATGTGACATTAATGCCTAGAAAACCTCTAAGAAACAAGGAAAAGGTACTATGATGATTGCTTTGCTTTTAAGTGAGAAATATGGAGTTTCTTTCAACCACATTTTTTTTCATCACTTGCCCGTATTACTTAAAATCATTGTTATTATTTTTATTATTAAGTGAGCACATAGATGTAAACTCCTAGTCAGAGTGTCAAAGGAATTTTAGATTTATTAAAAATGATATTAGTCTTAACCAACTGCAATCTTTATGAAGCTTTGACTGTGGACTTAATTACAAAGGCGGTTATTACAAATGTCGTAATAAATACGCTAATAAATAAGTTATTTTATGCACAAAACGTGATGGTTCCACGTAATGGCTTGATGAAACCGAGTGCGTTCTCCCAGTGAATCATGTTTAATTTATAGCCATAACTGGTAGTAACTTAATCTCGCTTTATTTGTTATCTGATCCTGTGGAAAAATATATATATATGTGCCATCTTGGAGTATTTTATCTGATTATAAAAGGGAGAGGGAGAGTGTGTGTGTGTGTGTATGTGTGGTTTACTCATTCGCGTCAGATGGTACTGTTAGATGATTGAGATTAGAGGGCACTATCTTACGCTGGAATCGCCAAAGATGTCCCGTTGTCCATAATTGTGATAAATTAATCTTCAATCCATGCCTACTGGTGAGTACAATAACCCCGTTGAGTTGGGAGATATTTGGGGGGAGATAGCATGCATAGGTACGTGAGCTAGGTGGGGGGGTAAAGAGAGGGGTTTACGTTCCAGTCGCAGTCCCTTTTCAAACGCTGATTACCCATCGAGAGGTAGTGGAGATAGTATCTTCATCTCGTTTACCACAAGCCTGCAAAGTCGTTGATGCATCGTATTACTGTGTTTTCTCTTAAAGAGAAGGGTAGTTTTAACATTTTCAATGGTCAAAACGAATCTATCCCACGAGAAGTAGAAGGAATCCGTGAGCAAATTGAATTATGCTTCTGCTATTAGCTAATTAAGGTGGCGTTGCGATCGACTGAAGTTCACATACAGCTGGGAAAGTCGAAACCCCTTCGTCACAGTCACGTTCGCCAGAAACATTAATTTTGCGCTTGAAAATTATCCAGAATGGCTCATCTAGGAGGAAAGAAGAAAACGCAATGATGAAAAAAGAAGATGGTGATTCGTTGACAAAATTGCATTCACTTTATCTGAATACCAGATTCGCCGACAAGGCTGCTTTTGGTTTTTAAGTTCGAGCTGTAGCAAGACCTTCCTTAAAAGGCAAATAATTTAAGGATGTATCCTGAATTTCCCACTCGACCGTTTTCATCCAAAAATTCCACTGACGATTTTTTGCCCGACTACCAGTTTTACCCATGTTGAAAAAAACTTATTTAGCTAATCAGTTGTTCAGGAGTTTCGAAAATAACACAAATTTGCTTAAATAACCACTTGGTATATCTCTTCTCCAAATAACATGGTAGTTAGATGATTTCGGCCATGGGAACGATCTGTTGAACAACTGGAATTTTGCTAGACTAATCCAGCGTCGTTGAAAACTTCATTGTCGAACCTGTGACATCTGCATTCACAGAGGAGCACATTAATCACCGCGCATTCATTGAATCACGAGGAGCTATTTTTTTCATTTTTCTCTCTGATTTGAATTCACGAGGATGCAACCTCGATATAAATGTTCCAATGATAACAATATACTCAAAACGTTGTCTTTGAATTCGGCAATTTAGGAGACGACTGCTTTAGTCAGTGACGAGAAGTGCTGATTGACTTCTTAGCATCTCAGCAAAGCCACTGAATAAACCCGATTAGCAACATTTTTTCACATTGTCACGAGTTTTATTCGCATGCCAACAGTGCGTTTCTCCTCATTCATTTCCTGCCTATTGAGGCTAAATGACCTAATGGGGCTAAGTCAATTAAAATGTAATTTACACGCATTATATGATTAATAATTAGTAATAAGTTTCCTCAAGTTAGGCCCATAATACGCTAATAGAAAGATAATTAAATATACACCAATTTAGAAATAATATTAACTAAAAAGACTTTTCATATTTTATACAATTTACTTCATTATTTATCACTCTTATGTCTTTCATCATTATTTTTTAATATCTCTTTTGGGATCTTATTTAAGGTACTCGGATTTGCATTATTCCTCCCAATAAATATAACTAGCGTTTTCAATGTTGAATGGTTGCAAAATTTAGATACAAATCAGTGCAATTTGTGATATAGACCTGCTTAATTGATTGAGTGAGCTGATTTTGGCTTATGAGTAAAGGCAGATGAAATATTATGCATTGTTAGGCAATGCGTTTATGTAATAATATTCAACGAAGGTGAAGAATTCCTTGCTCAAAGGATATGTCCCTCCACCAAGGTGCTTAACCGAACTCCCATAAAGGCACATTTCTAAGGTAAAATCCAGGCCAAAAAACCACGATGATTATCAATTCCATGGCATCATGCGCCACGCGATTTAATTATTATGTACCATTACTGCTCTTATGAAGCGACCTATTAATTTCTGACCCAGTTAAGGGTCACGAGGCAAGAGGATGAGACAGATACGATGATGATGATGCCAGCCATGAATTAGTAAAGCAAGGAATTGGAGTAGTTTTGGACTTAATATAATATTTTAAATAAGTGAGTGTTTACCAACTGATGAATTGTTTTCGCGTGTTTTGCTATTTAGCTTTTTCAACCACATTGCAATGGATCAGCAGCAATCGCTGTTGATTTTACTCGCAGTGCTTCATATTTCCCACTCACCCATCTTGGCCACAGACTTCCAAGCATTTGGCAGCCTTCCAAACGAATTCCGTCTGGTTGATGACACACCAACAGACCATCTGGTTGGAAAGGTGCAAGCACCTCCTGGTGCCTCTCTCATAACATTCCCAACATCCGGTGTCTTAGGTTCAGATCAATCACCCTGGAGATTCCAAATCTTTCGACCTTACAAATTACCCAGCCGCCTCTTTCGGATTGATCCGGATACTGGTGAGCTCTATACCTCTCAAACTATTGACCGAGAAGCACTCTGCACTGAACCAGATGTGGTAGAATGTACCCTCTCCTTTCAAGTAACTGCACAAACCAAAACCACATCTGGTGTGCCCCATTTCATTGATATCAAGGTCCTAATTGATGATCGAAATGATCATGCGCCTGAATTTCCTGATCCAGGGTTTGTAAATCTTTCTGTGCCCGAATCCACTGAAGTTGGTGCTCGATTTCCCCTCCCGTTGGCTAGTGACCCGGACACCAGACAATTTTCTGTGAACGCCTACGTTGCTGAACCTGAAATGCCAAGTGAATGGTCTTTAGTTACCGAAACTTCTGGAGGCGAAACAGACAACTATATCTTCTCAAAAGTCTCCCCATCAATGATTTCCTCCTCCGTACACAAAATCACTGGTCTCTACCTCAAATTGCAGAAACCTCTAGATCACGAAACCAAAATGAAGTTCTCCTTTAAGATTCGAGCTCTGGATGGTTCGGAAGCAAATGAATATGCCCCAGTGGTTAATCGAAAAGATATTCTCCAGGTTTATATCTATGTAGAGGATATTAACGACAACGGACCCGTATTCAGACCACAAGGAAAACCCTACCCAGTAGCACCACCTAAAGCTCAAATCAACAATTGGATTATTACCTATACAGCAACTGTTCCCGAGAGTAAGTGGATAAAAGATCCAATCTTGAAACTGGTTGCTGATGACAGAGATGGACCGGCGAATTCGAAAGTTGGTTACTACTTTGCTCCAGCGACAAGCAAGCACGTTCAGGAATATTTCACTCTGAATCCACTTAATGGGTATCTCTTTCTTCGCAAGCCTCTGGATTATGAACTTCAGTCCGAGTATTCATTCAGAGTTATTGCTACTGATATGCCGGAAGATAATTTGAGAGTTGGTATTGTGCATGGCCAAGTTTCACCTTCATCTTCAAATATCCATATAGCAACGGCTCAAGTTGTGATCACAGTCACTGATACGAATGATGAGGCGCCTGAAATAGAAATTGATTTCATTTCAAGTGAGCCGAATGCTTCACCAATGGCAACTAAATATGCCGAAATAGAAGAAAATGCACCTCCGCCACAGTTCATCGCCAGCATTCAAGCAACTGATAGAGATGCTGGCATGAGCGGTCAAGTGAGCTGTGCTCAACAGCAAGTGCTTAATCCATCTTCTTCTCTATGGCCAAGGCCATCTCAAACGTCCATGAATACTTCCTCTTCACCATTTCAACTGGATGAGATTCGTCAAGAAAACGGACGCGTGCAGTATCGCTTGCTAACTCGAGAGGCCCTGGACAGGGAAGATATCGAAAACGGTGGAGCTTATCGTCAAGTAAAGATAGTCTGCACAGATATGGGACGACCACCCCGTGCTTCCAGTGCATTTGTGAATATCAGAATTAGGGATAAGAACGACAATGCTCCTACAATAAACTTGAGGCGTCCAACCGACTTCATGTACAGTTTGAAGCCCTCAGACGGAGATAAATGGCCATATGTATATGAGAATGCGCCAGTTGGAAGTCTCATTACTCGTCTGAACGCCTCTGATTTAGACGAAGGAGAAAATGGCCGTCTGACATTCAGCTTTGTTGCTGATGAGTTACCAATAGGCTCTGTGAATCCTCTTACACTTTTTCAAATAAATGCGAAAACTGGGGACATCACAACCAAAGTGGAAATAGACAGAGAAGCTTATGACCCACCATTGTCAAGTGTTCTCTTACGAGTCAAAGCGTCTGACAACGGGGTTCCACCCAAATCAGCAACTCAGGATATCAGGATCTACATTCGAGATGAAAACGATAATTGGCCTGTTTTTCAACGATCTGAATACCAGTTCCATGTAATGGAAAACTTAGACGCTGGCTATGCAGTTGGAGACATTCTCGTAACTGATAAAGATGAGGGGGAGATCAAGCTTACCTTTGGAATGCACACATATGGACCTCTCCCGTTTACTATCTGGTCATGCCCTTATCAAGACGATGGGGAACATGGATCCTATTCCATTTATCGGTTCATTCTCAATACGACTAGACCTTTAGATAGGGAAGTAGAAAGTGCTTTCAAGTTCACTCTTATAGCTACTGATGGTGGCACTGGTCAAGGAAAATCAAAATTTGGATCTGCTACAGCAACTGTTGAAATCATAGTCGAGAATGAGAACGACAACGATCCTGTAATCATCTTTCCTCAAAAACAAAACAAGACATTCTATCTTTCCTGGAGAGAGAAAAAGAATTTTGAGCTGCTCACTATCAATGCAAACGATAAAGACCCTTCTGAAAATCCACATATCTTTGAACTCATGAAAGGTATGTCAGACGTTCAATTGATCAATTATAGTAAGGAGAACGAAACAAAGAAAGACGCGGAGTTCACCTTAAGTTCGGACTTTCTTGACATTGAACCGACAACTGGAATTGTATTCCTTTCTCGAGACATGAGAGCAGAAGATAAGGGTATCCATATCTTTAAAGTGCAAGTAACTGACGCCGGGGTTCCACCAAGATCTAGTTCAATTACATTCTTTGTTTTGGTTGACGATTCTTCTCCTCGAACACCGATACAAGATGGTAATAACGTACCATTGCCGAAGATAAATACCAAGCCCCCTGCAAATGTTGATCGACCTCCACCCAAGAGGGCTAGTATCCAAGTTCCCAATAATCAAGTTGGAAATCAAAAACTCCCCTCTGATATTCGCCCTAATCAGAAGCCTAGGGTAGCTGGGGACTTGATTGTTCTTCTGGCTCTGGGTCTCGTCTTTCTCCTTCTTATTGCCACCATGGGGTTGGTCGTGTATTTCCGCTATTGGAAGAAACAAACTCGAATGGCTCAAGTGAATGGAAACCGTGGATCCCTCTTATTTGCTAACCAAGTTAATAGAAGTGGAAGTACCTGCATGAAGGAAATTAGAGTTCCAGTGGCAAAACAGCAAGAACGGTGGCTCTGCACCAGTGACGGGTCTATAATTAGCGTTTCTTCGCCAACTCAACTGCTGAGTGAGAGTGAACAACTAAAGAACCACTTCCCAGCTGTTATTTCATCTGCAGATAGTACGGGCAACATTTACTATAAGGCTAGAGCAGAAACTTTAAGATCAGGTAAAAATGACAATGACCCTATGGCTGGTTACTCTACACTCTCACCTATGACATCGGTGATATTGAAGCCGAATGTGGTTCAAGATAGCGAGAGTTACGTTCACCCAGATTCTCAACTCGCTTACTACGCTCAAAATGTACACGTGTTAAGTGGACAGCCAAAAGATAGATCTATTCTCTTTTCTCAGAGGCACACAATGGATAGGAATACCTTCAGAAACATAGCCGCAATAAAACAGCAGCATCAGCAGCAAGTACAACAACAAGTTCCTCATCCAAATCAAAGTGAAGTTCTAGTACTCCCCCCGGTAGCTTGGGACTGTCAGTCACGAAGTGACTCATCTTTGAAACAGGAGGAGATGGTGATGATGTCTACCACCGAAAGTGGCCGCAGTGAAACCGACGTGAGTCAATTTTGCTCACCATTTGCATGAGTAGGCTCGCATGGCGTTTGGCTCAGCCTGCTGTGATTGTAATATAAAGCGTGGCTTCCCCCCCCCCACCCC